GCGGGAGTCCTGTCAGCACCTAGCAGCCGCCTCCGCGTGGCCTTGCACGCGCTGCTTTAAGCCTTTTTCCGCCGATTCCTAGAAAAAGGAAGAGCCGAACTTTACGCCGGAAGACGCCGTTCTGGCATCCGTTGGCATCGTGAAGTGTAGCCCTGAACGCGGCCTGCTGGTGTCGGAGAGCATGTTCTTGGCCCTGGAGGAGCTGATCCAGGCGTGCTGTGGTGAGCGCCGTTTGCTGGCATAATCAGGCGTTTGGGTTTTGTTAGTAGCCTGCGGAAAGGCTTCCGCTCCATTACAACCAGGACGCTGTCCCCTTGTAACAAGGCTTGGTTCAGGTTCTTATCTAAATAGCGCGAGTCTTGGGGCTCGTGCGTCGCTGCGCGTGGGTTTGTGCCTCTGCTGCTGGAGAGGTAGCTCACTGGTGTGAGGGCGCTTCCCGGTTTGACGTCAAAACTCTTTATTTCACTCATGTTTGCGGTGGGTAGAAGAAAATGCCCCCTCGTCCATCCAGCAACATGTAAAACGTCATGAGCAGCTGGAACTCTTAGATACGGATTTTTGCTCTACAGCTGGTTTTTTCTTTTAGCAGCCTTCTGTATTTTCACTTTAACGCCCTTTTGTCTTTGGAGGATTTTTTCTTTTTTTTCTTTTTTTTTATTAAAATGCTCATATCCCAGCCTGAAACTTTAGTGGGTCTTTTTTTTTTTTTTTGTTTTCCTGTTTTCATTTTCCGTTTCTGTCTCAAACGCGTGTAAACGGGGCACGTGAAAGTAACTTGTGGTACTGGTCCGTTTCAGTCTGTTTGTCTTTCCAGCGGAAGATGAAGGCGTCCCTGTGATTATGGTGTGTGGTCCAAAAAACGTTGGGAAGTCAACGTTTAACAGATACCTAATTAACCTGTTACTGAATCAGTGAGTCTTTTTCACTTTCTCTAGTTCTAATTACTACATGTGATCTAGGCTAAAGAAAAAAGAAGAACCTGACTGCTAAGATTCTCAAAAAGTTACCATTTGGAAGTTGAGTGTCTTTTTCAAAACCATGATAGAACTAAGAATTCTTGCCTCAAGTGTCTTGCGGAAAAACTGGCTACGTAAATATTTCTATTACCTGCTACTAATTTGATGTCTTGGAGTACGTGAACTACTCGGGCGCTAAGTAGTTAGGGTTCAGTAAGGAGATGGGAATCATACCGTTTAAAAAAATATACAGAAAGCTGTTACCATTTGTTAGTGTCTTTCAAGTTTCTTGGCGCACTAAGGTGTGGAAGGTTGTTCTCTTAATCGTCGCTTGCCTAAAATACAGCTTTTGCAAGTCTCGCGTGGTCAGTCTTGGCGTGTCTGGTTAACGTGGGAGAGGTGGTGTGCTGCTTAGTCCTGCCTCTGCTTACTGTTCTAGCCTCCCTTCTCACAGATGGGATGGTACGGAGCTATTGTAGTAGCATAAGCATGTATCTGTATCGTGTCATCTGAAATGGGGTGTAGATGAGCCCTTTGCATTCTTTGCTTGCCTGATCATGCTGCTTGTTCAAGTCAAGGAAGGAGAGAGCGAAGTGGTAATTTGTGTTCTGATAATTCAGTTGTGATGATCTTGAACAAAATTAAATTCTACTGTGGATATTTTGCGAGTTGCACCCTTTTTCTTTTTAGTGGGAACTAATACCTTGGCTTCTTTTATTGCAGCCTTCCCTCCGTTGAGTATCTGGAATGTGATATAGGTCAAACTGAATTTACACCGCCTGGGTGTGTGTCTTTAACTAACGTAACAGAGCCGTTTCTTGGTATGTATTTTGGCGTTTTCTGCTATTGCCAGAAACCTGTTTCGTTCTCAGAAGGTGCTTTCTGAGTAGAAACTGTACTTTGGGAGAACTTGTCACATCTGTCACGGGTATATGCAAAGAACAAAAGAAAAGCTATAGAAGTTTTCCTGCTAGGGACCTCTAAGCTTCCTGTGAAAGTCTTGTTAAGTACCATGGAGTTATTCTCCTGGGCGGTGTTTGTGTGTGTTAAAGAGAAGAGACAATATTTGTTTATAAGCAGGTGGAGCTGGTTGTAGCAGGCCAAAGCAGGTTGCCAGTTTTCAGATGTGTAGAGTCTCTGGGAAAATCTTTCTCGTGCTTGACTATCTGTAGAGGCACGTCTAATACAAGATAAAACTAGCTGGAGAAATATGAAGCAGGTTCATATAAGTTGGGGACTGTTTTTCTGAGCACAAGAAAACTGTGACCAGAGAAACTGCTAGTATTTTTTGGTCTGGCAGATCACCAGTGGATTTGGGTGCCTGTCTAAAAAGGATATGACCAGACTGGTTTACTTCCGTCTGTCACAGTATCCACAGTCTGTCCACAGTAGAAGTTAATGTTTTCAGAATTAAATTTGATCTTGTACAATATGTTGCTTACTGTAGTTCAGGATGTTTCTTCTTTATA